ACACATGTTTCTCATCCATGAGCCCCACTTTCCACTTTCTTGTTATTTTGAGATTATCAAAATTTTTTCTAATAACTTCCATAAGTGGGTGCCCCACTGAAATTTTTCAATAAGAGCGAACTTGAATTTCTCAGTTAGGGTTAAAATTTCTAAATTAGAGAAAAAAGTGTTGCTTTCCTATTTTTCATATTTGTCTTCTTAACAAATGGGCAGTCACCTGTATCATCATGACAATATTTATAGCTGAAGGGGAAGACAACCGCCAACTTCATCTGAGGATTACCCACCACGTGGGCAAAAGAGGCGATGTTAGGTTCAACCAAAGAAGAAGGGACGCCATCAGAGCAGTGAAATCCACATGCTAGAAGATTCCGAGATAATCACGACAAGGTGCAAAAGAAAGCGAGGCTGTTGGACGTTCGCCTCTGCTTCGCTGCTTCGAGCCCGAGGAAAGGAGCCTGCGCCCATGCCCAGGAACGCTGCGAGAGAACGACCTTCCAAGCTGGAACGAAGGATTGCACTTCAGACGACGTCAGCGTCGGAACGAGAGAACGAAGCGCTACGAAGTCGACGTAAGACGAAACAACTGCGATTGGTTTGAAACCGCGGAAGACGAGCCTCGATCGGGGCCGCGGACAGGCACAACTCGATGAAGCTCTACGAAGAGGACGGAAGACGAAAAAGAGGAGCGAACTCCCCTTACTTCTTCGAGCGTGAAAATACCGTAGCAGAGGCTAGGGTTTGCCATGAGGCGAAACCCTAGCAAATCCTCCTACGAAGATGATAACTTGCCAGTTGTCCAATCTTCTTGTTGTATTTCATTCTTAAAATATAAAGCCTAATCAAGTCAATTTTGGTTTTTGTGTGTGTGTGTGTATGTATATACATAGACACACACTCACACACACATATAAATACATACATACATACATAAGGGAATTTGATGGAATTTAATCACAAATTTACGCAGAGCGCATATTCATGGCCTTGAACCCAAGATCACTCGGTTGAAAGACTAATCTCTCAACCAACAGACTAAGGTGGGTTGCATAAAGTCGATGACCCGATCTTCAGCTTTTCCAGCCTCATACATCTTGCCAACCCTTTCCTTTTTTTCAATGCACCTTCCAACTCATCTCTTTATTTTCTCTTTTTTGGCTGTCCAATCACTGCCACCTGTAACCGTTTACACATTTTCGTATTTGCTTTTCGCCAATTCTTGTCCAACCAAATCTTCCGTTTTTTCCTGTGCACCCTTTGATTCCAATTTTTTGTCTTCTAATTTCCTAATTAACAATTTGCCATACTTGGCATTTATATGTTCAACATTTCCCTCAAATTGCTAAGTAGAGCTTTAACATGTCAAACACATTTATAAAGGAAGCATTAGATTGTCTTTTGAAGAATACATCCACAAGGTGATTTCCATTTGGAACATGAGATACATAGCAATTGACTTTTAATTTCTTCTTTTTTTAAATATTGAACATCATATGCTTTGTTCAATCATGTCGTTTTGGATTATGATGACTATTGATGATAAATTTGTTGACACAAAATAATGTGTTGAGAGTCGATCTTGTATGAATGTCGTGAGAATAATTTGCTGTAATCTGCTCTTTAAAAAATTTTCTAATGATTTGTCAAGCTCAACGTAGTAGTTCTTAATAAGCTGCAAATTAGTGAAGAACTTACAATTTATTTCCATGCTTGGATGACACTTATAACGTTCGCTAGTAAGTGAGGGTGCGAGACACCCAACAATCTTGTATGTCTTACTGGAAAAGAGGAGAGCATCCGCGCATTGAAGTGATGATGGCTGTTTTCGTTGTTGGGCTGTAGAATTCTGATGAAACAGAAGTGGAGGATTGTTGTGTGGAGTCAGGAACACTTTCACTGCATTTGAACCACAGTCCACATTAACGAAATAATGTGTTGGAGGAGGCTAGGGGTAGAGGGGTAGAAAGAAGAGAAGCCTCAAGAACATTAGGGTTCATTTGGGAAATATGTGATAACCTTACAGGGGGATCAACCATGGCAATAAGAGAAGTCATTATAGAAGTTTGGATTTGAAGCGACTTTGATAAATTCGTAATAATGATTGATGGAATCACACACAACGACTAATATGTGAGGAGTAGAAGGCAATCGTTGGCGTGAGAAGAGACAGATGGCATGACGAGGGCTGTCGTAAGTGGCATAGAAATTTAGAGTGGATGATATGCTGATACCATGAGGAGGCTTTGGTGTCAAAGACAACCCAAAAATTTGACATTAAATGGAAAGAAAGTCTTCAAAAGGGGAACCCAGCAGAAACAACTCTAGATGACCACAACCAGAGGTGAATGGCAAAGGGCACAAAAAGAATATACGTGCTTGGAGCCCAATGAGCTTTTCCAGCAAATGATCAATAAAGCATTTGGTTTCTAGCCGCTCGAGAAGGGAGAACATGAGTAGTGCAAGATAGGTGAAATGCACTTGAATGCAGGCAAAGGGGATGCATGTGGCTTGTGCTGGCTATGGTGAGTGTAGGAGAAAGGAGTGAGTGCCTAGGTGATCTATGGGTGATGGCGAACAAATGTTCAAGAAAATTTAACTAGTTATTTTAGAATTACTGCATCTTTACTATATTTCATTTTCAAGCCTTGATAGTAGTCTCTTTAACCAGAAACTTATCATTATAGTGTAATGCTCGATGAAAGAAAGGTTTCCTTGTTTGGTTAGTTTATTCTTGACCACTTAGATAAGGGTGGCATCTTTGCATAAATTTCTCTCACGCCTTATTCTTCTTCCCAAGTTTTAAACTTTGGATATTTTGGCTTAGGTGGTGCTCTTATATGGTGGTTGATTATTCTTTTTCCTTTTAATAAAGTCTTCACAACTCGAGAGCACATTTTGTAGCTTCTCCCATCCAACTGCTAAGAGGTTTGAAGGTTTTGAAAATCTTCATTATCTGTCTTAATTCTCCAGATTCATGACAAGATGTTCTCTGGAGGTAGTTTTAGCAACTTATAGCATGAGGAAGAGAAGAATAGAATGGCTCTGAGAGAAAGAAAAGACCTGATAATTTTCTCTAGAGTCTGGAGGTAACTAAAGCAGAACTGAAAACTTGAAATCCTAATCATCTCTGATATTGTGTAGAAAACTATTTATTGGAAATTTTCTCACACTTTTATTTTAGTATTTTACCAATCAATGGTTTATTATATTCATTACTCAACCATTGAAATATCAGAAACCATACAATTCATCATAGAAAGACCTCCTAATGTACTTCAATCTTTGTATTTCAGCCTCCAACAGCGCTAGTCTAGCTCAACTTAGCCTGCCCCTTTTTCCCTATTCACCTTTTGATTCCCAATTCCACTGCTTTCTGCCTTTTCACCATTTCCCCGCTTGCGCCTTCCATACTTGGCTTTCAGATCGTCAACACATATAACTTCGACTCAATATCAAAACCTGTGTAGTTCCATTGCAGGCCCAAATGCCCGCAATTTCATATCTGCTTCTAGAACACTATCTAGTTTCTTTATTATCCTATTGATCAGAAAAAATGCAGTTGATAGCTTTCACATATACTGTTTTGTTTTTTGATTTAATCCTCATGGCAGGATGCAAAACGTTACAAGAACTTGCAAGAATTACTGATTTGAACAATCATGTTATGATTTTTTTATATATATATATATATTTTTTGATTTCATATATGATTTCAGTGTTATCAATTTCCGAGTGATCATACTCCGTGCAAAACTTGAAGTGAATATGTTTGCTAATTGCCATGTTTTAAAACTTGGTTTTGGTCCATCATGGAAACTTTCAAAAACATTAGATATATTTTTGTTATTTAAAAATATAACTTATCTAAAACTGACGTTCATATATTAATTAATCTAATATTTCTCTTAGATTACAGTTAAATAGGTGATTGCGGAACTCTATTTATCAGATTCTGTGTAATCATAGAACTAAATGAATTATTTGTATCATCATTTGTTTAAAATACATCATATGACTAAAATTGGACAGATTTTCTAACTTTGTAGTTAGTTCAATTATTCTTCCCAGTTTCCTAATCTGTTCCTTACCTTATGCATAAAATTACTTTTAAAGTCACAAGTTTACCAGCACTAATCCAAGCTAATTTTTATTTTCTCTCAAGTTAAGATGGTTTCCTTAGCTCAGTGGAATGAAAGGATATAGATATACACTTTCATCCTCCATCGATTCCAAGTGCCCTGATGTCTACATGTAAACTTATTGAAGTTTTTTTCACACTTTACATCCATTTCAGTGAATTTACTGCCTGAAATAAGCAGAAGTTGGTCACAAACTACTGCTTAGTTCGCCAATCAACCGAAGACGGATAATAGAGGTTTCGGGGCTTCTGATTGAGTTTGGTAAGATGTTGGAAGGGCCATATTTCAATTTGGATGTGGTTTGAGAGATGTAAATTGGTCTCATAGTCTTAGGCAATCCTTCCATCTCTACAATCTCAATTAATTTCCCTTTAGATTTCTTGTTTGGAGTATGGGAAACTAGGATGGTTCGCTGTGCATAGTTTGATTGCTTACCGCCATGATCTGCATGCATCTACAGACAAACAGATGCTTACAATTGCAAATGTTTTTTTTTTGGTTATGTTTATATTTGCTAAATAACTGGTTTCTTCATCTTCCGATAAAATATGACAAAATCATAGACATCATTGAGTCACCTGTTTATTTTCCTTCAAGTGATTACAAATTTTCATTGTTTTTTTTTGTCGTTTGCTTGATTACACCAAGTATTTTTTTTAAATTTTGACATGTTTTTTAAAATATTTTTGCAAGAATTTAATGTCCATTGTGATTTTACATCAAGTTCTCATTGAAGCTTTCTGTTTTCTTTCCGTGACTCCATCTCTAGATGTTTTTGTTTTGTTTTATGCATGATTGGTACAAGAGGTTTTATGCGTCGTAGGATTCATATTCTTACTTTTGTTTTTTGTCTAAATGCAGGTTTTATTTAGACATTTGCAAGAAAAACTCATAATCACCGAGGTAGGTTACATAGTTTAGCATTATTAGTGGGTTTCATCTTAGTTCAAAATAACAATTGAAATGAAAATAAAGTTATCCTATCTCTTAAACTGTTTATGAGTTTTGCATTTAGCCTTCTAATTTGCATTTTCTAAAAAAATTCCTTTAGCAGGAGAAGTTGAAAGACTCGCAATACCAGTTAACTCCTTGGCATCTAGAGCCGACAAATGACAGGAACCTTCCTCCGCTATCACCTTCTCATCCTCTTGGTGCAAGCCTCGTCACGTCTGTATGATTACACCTTTCTCCATGTTATTGTATTCTCAGTAAAGTTGCCCTTCCTTATGAGTAAGAGAAAAGTGTCAAAATGGTTCCCAAACTATTTTAAGAGGTCCATTGTAGTCCTTGAGTCTATGGATGTGTCATATTAGTCCCTTGAATTTTTTAATATGGGCTAAAATAGTCCACCTTGGGGACCATTTCAGCCCATTTAGAAGAATTTGATGACTAGGCACCTTTATAGGCTCTGGGACAACAAAGCCACTCATTCTTGTGTCTTGATTTAACTCATGTAAATGCACTTGATCCTCTCTTTTTTATTTTGCAAGAGGATAAGGCCCCTTTTGGTAGTGTCCTGAGGACATAGTTTGTACTTTTTGCAACCTTTTGTTTTCTTTAATGCAATATGCAATATTCAAGGGACTAAAATAATCCCATGTAAATAGTTAGGGAGTCAGGGAACCATCTGGGCACTTTACTCTTATGATTAATATCGCAGTGTTAAAGCACACTTACCTTCTCTTACTTTTATTTTGGCCCCAAAACTTTTCTTCCTTTTGATTAATATTATTGTCAGAGCAAAGGCCTCGAGATTGTACCACAACCAACATTTTCTCATGCACAATCCCCTGGGTTCTCTCCAGCCGATAGGACTCGGTCAAAAGATTGGGAGGGACTCGGCAATTATAATCAGCATGCTATTCCCAGCAGCACTACCACAAAAAATGTGGATCACAATAATTTGGAAGGAAACATTCTTTCTGTGAATAGGTAGAAGTTGTTTTTTAGGCCGAGTGATGTGGATGGTTTTTTGTCTAGCTTTAGGATATTTTACAGATAAACTTCTCATGTCGACTGTCTTTATCGTTTGTGCTACTTGTTTTGTCTGCTATTACACATCCATTTCAAATAGCTGATATGCTTGCCTTCTGACATTAATGTCACGGAATGCATATTTTTTTAAACTGGTATTTTCTTAGCCAGTAGTTAATTTCTTTAAGTGTAACAGTTATTAATCTTCCTGTTTCAAATCATTCTGTTGATTTGAACTTGCCGCCACTAGGTGTCCTTATTGGGTCTAAAAACTTTCCATCCTCATACGCAAGATACTTCTACGTTATTTGTAGATTAATTAAAGCTAAAAATGTTTGCTATTCAAACCTTAGCCTTACGGAAGGGCATTATAATTGTACAAGGTTGTTGGGAAACTTATGGAAGGCCAATATATTTGTAGAAGGAGGCTGGGGTTGGGTTGATGGGTTTGTACTTGCTCAATGGGAGGGTTGTTAGAGCTATGTTTTCCTCATCCTTATAATGATCGTTCAATCTGAATTTATGTTTGATGTTGTTGATGCACTTAGTCAAAAATCCTATTTTTCTGTAGCTTTTGTTTTATGGTTAATTTAGATATATTTTACTAGGGTTAAATATTGTACTGCTATTTTTATAAGAATTATTTCTTGTAATTGTGCTATTGCTTTATATGCTTGTTACCCGAAGGCCTTCTCATGTTAAATAAGGTTCCATCTGGTTAGATTTAGACATTGTTTGAGTATTGAAAGAAGTTTGTGATCATCTCTTAAAAGTAGTAGTAGTTCTCTTTCTTCTGGCTTCTCCACCTCTCTCATCATTTTGCCTTTTTATTTTTTCTCTCTAATAAGTGTAATCAGAGCTTCATGATACAAAGGACAAAAATTTTCTTTTTTGTTCTCTAATTGCACTTTTTATTTACTATCAAATAAACATCTAAATAAATTAATAAAGCCACTAATGAATGCAATTTAAATAAATTTTAAATAACACATTAATGAACTTTCCCTTCTTTATGTTGGTCATTTCTTCAATACAAATGTTTTCTTCTATCACTCATTTTAATGCCCAAGTCTTAAATTTGAAATTGTCAATTTAAAATTATCATTAGCCATTAATTATCATCAAATATTTTCTTCTAAACTATAATAATGTAAAGAAAAAAAATGTAAATGATAGTCTAATATAATGAATCATTATAAGAATAATTTATAATTCGTCATTCAATTATTACCATTTAGAAAATTTTAGAGCATTCTATTGTGCAGGACAATATTTTATCTTATCTATATGGTTTTAGCAATCATATGAGTACCATCTAAATTATATTTATTAATGTACGTCAATATCAATTTCTTTTTCTAATTTATGTTCATGTTTACCTTAAAGTTCTTACCATAAATTGGTGAAATCTATTTGTCAATCAGATAAAAGCAAACATACTGTATAGATTGTTTCATTCATAGTTCCTTTTTGTTCAATATAATTCTCTAATTCTCATTATATACAGTAAATAAGTTTAGACCTGTTTAAAAGATCAAAAAAATTCATTTTAATATGCCCAAGTCATCTAATGGAATCGATCAATCATGATGCAATATACAGTAACATTTGATTAAATGAGTATCAAATTTAACATATGCATTTATTCTAGAAGAAATCAATATTGTTACAATAATTTAAAATATTAGTATTGACCACCGTTGACTTGCTTTTACTTTTTTGTCCCAATATAACCTTTAACATAGAAGATTTTCACATTAATAAGTTGCAATCATTATCATTTATTATACTTATTTAATCTTATTTTTTAATTAATTACATCATTTTTAATTAAAATTGTAATTCTTGTTACTAATTCTGCATTAACTAAATTATTAAAATTTCATTATTAAGCATGAAATTTCCTTTTCATTATTTAGTTATCTACCATAAATTGAGTTTATTTATGTCCATTGTTACCATCATGTCAATAATATAATTATTTTTATTTCATGTTATTCAATCTATATACCTTTATTATTATTTTCTTTTGTTTTCCACTTATTTTTTTTAGTTGACATAGACATACAAATCGTTTTCAATGACTGTTACTTTTATTTAAATATTTTTGAATTGTTATTGCATATTCTATTAAAATTACTATTTTTATTTTATCTTTTATTATTATTGTTATTCTAACAATATATCATAATTCAAATTCTACCCTCCCTTTTTTGGTTAACTAAAATTTTTTGATATCTAATATAAAATTTATTAATAACGTTAATCATCTTGCTTAATTTCAAAAATTAGATTCTAATAAGATTTAAATTTTCAACTACATCTTTTTGTTAGTTTTAGAACTTGTAAAAGAAGTTTATTACTCCTATTATTATCATTTTAGATATAAATAAAGATCTCTAATATTGTTATTTTAAATAATAATCCTAATCTTGAATATTGTCGGCAATTGAACCCTCAAATTTACACTGTTTTGCTTTGAGAATATGTAGCATGCTCATTGTGCCGCCATGCTTCACCCTCCATTCCTCATCCGCTTTGATTGTACATCTTGTGTTGCACACTCTGGGATTGAACTCCATGCAAAATGGATATGATTCATATGCAGATGTTGACACCCACCAAACTTACTATATCTCTACTCCGATCACAAGTCTTTCGTAAGCTCATACAAGGAACTTTTTGTCTTTTATTCATTACTTCCTACTAATGCTTTCCCTTTTGGCCGCATCTTGCTTGTACGCTATACTCTTATAGTAACGTGCTTCCCACTTTTCCACTCCAATCTCTTCACAACAATTTCCACTTTCTCTTGTGGTAGAAGTCCAAAACACAATAACAACCTTTCATATCTTTAATAGATTTGATGATCTACTTTCACGGTTTGCCAAATTATTTGTCTTTAAAATCAGGTTAGTTTCCTTCATCGTCATTTGTCGACTTCCTAGTTAGTTGCATTCATCATCACCTTATTGGAACCATTTGGCGGTTTCTTAGTTAGTTGCATTTATCATAACTTTACTGGAACCATTTTCACTATATATTTTCTTTTCATTCACCATAACACTTGTTGCATTAAAGGGGTAAATTGAGAATTTACTACTTTTCATGGATCAATTGTGCCCAACAAAAACAAGCCTTTATCCCACTAAGTGGGATTTGCTATATGAATCCTTTTTCTTCTTTGTGTCCAATTGAGTGTCATTTTTTTATTTAATTCTAATAGATTAAGATTATTTTTTATACAATATACCCAAGTCGTTTTAGGTCTACCTCTGTCTGTTTTAACACAAGTTGAATCTAAAATATCTACTCTCCTAACCGGATCATCAGATGATCGTGTTTAGTGTGACAAAACAATATAAGATGACTATTTAATTTTGTCTGCCACTGGAGCTACGCCAACCCTTTCACAAATAGATTCGTTTAATATTTTGTTTCTAAGTGTGAAGCCACTCATCCATCTAAGCATTCTCATCTTAGCAACACTGAACTTTATTTTATGTTTCTCTTTTAAAGGGCAACATTTTGCGCCATTCAGTATTACAGGTTGCACCATCATCTTATAAAATTTCCATTTTAAGTCTAAGCGGTAGTTTTCTATCACACAGTAGGCTTGATGCATTCCGCCACTTTAACCAACTAACCTAAATTCTACTAATTAAATCCCGATGGTAGAAAACCTAGAGCATTATATAGGATGGCTTCCAATATGTAAAAAATCCTTGAAACCAATTTTAATCAGATTGGGCTAATTTGATGATCTTTCTAGTGAAATTCAATTACCATGAAACTCAATTGAACCGGGGTATCCTACATCCAATTTGAAATTCCGAACAAGGATGGGTCTTCTAGGGAATTCAGTCTTTTAATGGTGCAGATTTTGAATTGCTTGAGGAGCCAGTTATAACTCTGTGGGTCAATGTGCACTTCCTCTGCAAAACATCATTATAATGAAAGTTCAAGGTGTTAACAGTTTATTTTTTGATATAATAATGATAAAATAACTGGAGACACTCATAATCTACTAATATGATGATGGAAATAAAGAGTAAAACTATCTTGATGAACTCCGAACATGTTTTGATATCCTTTGTGTGGATCTAAAAGTAAATATTCTTAAATGCTATACTTTTGTCGAAATAGCATGAAAAACCGTATTCCATGAAGGGATGGTGACTTTGAGTTATTAAAAAGGGCTTAGTTAAAGCATTATCCAATAATCAAACTAGTGGTTTTATTTCTTTACTTATTTTTTTGGATTAGTTCATTGATATGGTGCTTTTTCATTTGATTCACAATAATCAAACTAGTGGCATATGCCATGGGTAAAAAATCAATTGGATTTTCATGATGAGCCCTCTTACTACCAAGAATGAAATGAAACATTAACTTCAACAAAATTATATTTACATATCGTAGGAGAAAGTTGGTTTAGTAATTGATAAATGTCCAACAAGTTGTTCAAATCACCATTGAATATTAAATATTTTTGAGGAAATGCAATGGTTACTTGTATTGGCCTCCTTGATGAGCTTTGAGTGTTGTGTCTAGATTTATTAGTGGATTAATCACTAATTTGCAAAGAAAAGTAAATTTATATGCTCAAGAACCTTGGATGATGCACATTATAAGGCATTGGAAATTGAGTGAAATCAATGTTATCTAATTACTAAGATTATTGGTAGTAACATGAACATAATGAAAGTAGAGTCGTTGAAACTTAATAATCAATCTAATTGTGCGCTCATAAAGCCTACAAACTCAAGCACGATCAAACTAAAACAAGCTCTCCAAAAAAAAAATCCTTACATTCGCAACATGAACAATGTCAACACCTATTTTATATGTTACCAAAATGTTCCTACATCACATCAATGCATTAAAAATGCTATTGATCGATCATGATTCTGGGTTGCCACCTTTAGATGATGTAGGCATTGAGAATGTTAATGACAGCCATCCGATCACTGAAAAAGATAACAAGGTTCATACTGAAGGATATATTAGTTTAGCAAGAAAGATGTTTATAATCAATTCATAAGGGAAGATGGGTTTGGATAAAAAATTTTCATATATTTTTTCTCGCAGGATGACTTGTTGATGATCAATATCACTCTGAACCTACACTTGACGCCCTTTAACAAAAAACTTAGGTAAATAAACCTTTGTTCTTTGTAACCAGAATCTGTCTAGTACCCATCTAATGGCGAGTTTATAAAGATAAAATGGCATTGTTAAAACCAGAGTTTAGAAGGCAATACTAAAGCGGAAATTGTTTGCTGAGAATGATCTGAGAAGGGTTTCCACATCTGTGATGGACTTGTGAAACAAATAACTAGACACGGTTCTCTTTTCTTTCGTTCGGTCCTGCACGTTAGACAGCTGCTTGTCACCTCCCAAAAGAGCCGTTAGGGGTGGTGGACAGCCCAGGATTTAAATACTGCTTTTCGGCCCTACACCTAGCCGTTGTGGGACTATTTGTCCGTGACATTCTCCTTCACCCAATCACGTGACGCCCTCGTCACGGATCGGCTCCACCGAGGGTCCCACTGGACCATGGAGAGTCCACACACCGGCAGTAGTTTGCTTTAATACCGCTTGTCACCTCCCAAAAGAGCCCTTAGGGGTGGTGGGCAGCCCAGGATTTAAATACTGCTTTTCAGCTCTACACCTAGCCGATGTGAGACTATTTGTCCGTGACATGCTACTGTCTATTTCCACTACGTCGTTGCTTTACTAAATCAAACATTCTTCACTTTTATCATTCCACACTATACCCAATACTTACCTTGATCATATTACATTGTCTAGGGATTCTAGAACGAAATCAAGTACACACTCCAATAATACAGGATATCATGAAGGGATTCACATTAGTGATTGAGAAAAACCTTAAAAGTCATGATCCGTTAAAACTATTTTGTACTCAAAAAGAAGTTTCTCGTGCCAAGTAATTAGCCTAAGCATTCAATTATTATTGATCCATCCTCTATTTTTACTATCTTCTTCCTGTCAGTGGGTTTAAAATTTTGGTATTGATGTGGATAGAAATAGTCTAATGTGAAGGTAGTGGGAATTTTACAGAAATTTGAACAGCAGGTTAATACAAAAAAAATTACAGCATATGTTTTTCAATTTGATAAATTTTTTATCAGCTTTTTAATGTGCTAATCTACGTGTTAGTTTTGTGGTGTTTGTCTTGGGTATTGCTGGCTAGATTCCCACAAAATATATGGGTATTTTATTGCTAGAGTCTTGAAAATCAGATCTGACTTTGTATCCGATGAAGAAATGATTGATTATTCAAATGTTCAAATTGAATTTTAGCATGGTCAAATTGGATGATGTTCTAAATATTAAAATATTCAAATATCATTTAAATGATGAAATAGTGATTCAAATATGGTATAAAAAAACAAAAAGAACTACTCTATGAGTTATAAAAAATAAACAAAAAATTTCTTTTATGTTTTACATTTAAACTTCTATGATTAAATGACTAACTTTTTTATAATTTTATATTTTCTGAAGTAAATTTTCTCAGTTATTGAAATTGAGATTATACGAATCTTATTTAAAATATATAATGATTATTTGATTATGACATGAGTAACTCAATGAAATTGGAACTGATTTAATGGTGGTTGGTTTGATTGTTAGTACTTTCGATTCTAGTTGGTTCTTAGCAAATGTGGTTTTAGCTTTGGACCAAACTAATGGCCAGTTCATTGTTGGATTGGCACTTCAATTTGGTTTTCTAAACCATGTCTGTGGCACATACAACTTTGAAACCATGTTTTACTTTTTAGTTTCACTTATTTTCTATCAGAGTTTTCTAATAATTTGAAATATTAAATAATGTAAACATCCTTAATATAAATTACTTGTCAACATGAAAACAGAGTACTACAATAATATTTATGTGATTTATCCATATGATGTATATTTTTGTCACATGTTTGTGTATCATTGTACTAGTTTTTTCATAGCGGTGCCCTTCATCCATTTGTATTAAAGTTATGCATACAGCTGGCTACATGCTTTACTAACAATTATTTTGGATTTACATTTTTCTTTTGTGCATTTTAGGAATGTGGCACAAGATATGCCAGCCCATCTAAACAAAGGATACCCTCAGGTTGTACATTTCGGTGGTGAATCAAGAAATCAGAATCCATCATTCAAGGAGCTTGCGAGAAGCAATGAAACAGATGATTCTGAAGCAACTAATGTTCACCAGGGGAGAGAACATGTTGTTACTTGGGCTCCAGCAAATTCTCCTTACCTATCTTCTGGGCTTGATGATCCTAACTCATCATATCCTTACCTTCCACCAGTCCTTGAGGAACCAAGTTCTTCTTTTTCTGAAGGTTAAATTATTTAAAAATTTCTTGTTGAATACCTGTCACATTTAAGATGTTTTGTTTGTTGCCTTTGTTGTGCTTTATGTTTTAGCAATTATTTCATATATGCAGCTGCAGAAGATGATCCATTGCCTGCAATAGAAGGGCTTCAAATTTCAGGTGAAGCTTTTCCAGGAAGAGAACTTCAAGCTGGTGGGTACTCCATTAATGGAACAACCAGTTGTAATTTTGAGGTATATTTTATGCCTTAGACTCCACCGTAGTTGTAAATCTTGTGGTTATACAACCATGGTTGGAAAGAACTTTCTCGTGAGTGTTGCACTCAACTTACCGTATGTTCTCTATTTTGTCATGGGACATTTACATACATACCACCCAATTCTTTTATATTTACTTTTCTATTTTTACTACCCAAATCTTTCATATCACATAAAAAATACCACTAATTTTTAACTTTAAAAAAGTGAAATACATCTTTTCATGCATAGGTAAGGTGGTATATATGTAAAAATTGAAGTTTAGGTGTTAGATATGTAAACACATAAGAACTGAATGGTATGCATGTAAATCTTCCTTTTATTATTTGCAGTGGGTACGCTATCTAGAAGATGGATCAGTGAACTACATTGAAGGTATGTAAAACCTTGTTCATCTTGTTGTGATGTTGCAATTTTTACACTTAATAATCTATGCATGCTAGGAGCAAAGCAACCCAAGTATCTCGTTACGGCTGATGATGTTGACTCGTATCTTGCCATTGAGGTTCATCCTTTAGATGACAGGAAAAGGAAGGTAATTCATGTTTTGAAGGTTCTTTACCATGCTATTTATTTATCTGTTTGTCTACTTAAGAGTGATTACTTACTTGAATCGTTAACACAGGATGTTGTATCCATTCAATACATATTTGGTGATGTGAAATATGTTGAACATATGGTATGGATATGGGATAACAATGATAAACACACCTGCATTTTTATGGATACATTGCAGCGATCTTAGGATCGAGGGTTGGTTCAAAGTTCAATAGCAAATCATCTTGGGAAAAGATGTTAGATCGAATATTTTACATGCTAACAAACCTATGGAAAAGTAAATATGAATAAGATTCTACCACGGGAAAGCATCTAATGGTCAAGATCTTTTGAAAGTGGGAAAAGACTGCATACTGTGATGTAAGGATTTTCACAAGTTAGATTACACTTTTAAGCTATCAACTACGATGTACAAATATGGGCACAGAGACACGGATATGACATGATAGAAATTGAACTATAGGACTAAAATATGATGGACATTATAATTTTTATATTTTCAAAAAATAGTCAAAACTAGGAGAATAATTATTACAAGTATGGAATAAATATAATATCAATTATAAATTTTTTATATTTATTTTTTTAAAAATATTTGAACACATGCATCCTAAAAAGCTAATCTCATAGAAGACTAAAAGTAAAAGTTGAGAGAGCATTAAAAATATGTAGGGAATATAATATAAATTATAAAATTAAAAGGCCTATTTTATTAAGGTAACTACAGGGTGTCAATATTGGTGGAAGAGTGAAATTTATTTAAGCTTAATTATTTTGTTTATATATAT